AAGAAAAAGAAAACTAAAAGAAAAAGCATCTTGCTTCTTCTCCCTGATAGAATATTTATAAAGATAATAAGAAACTGAAGCAATACATCAAAAAAATAAATAAATCTCTTTTGCAAGGAGATTCTTATTTACCTAATCATTTAAGAGTAGAGAAGATGAAAGGCAAAGCAAACTAGTACAAGATCACATAGCATGATCATTCCAAGAGCTGAAAATTTCATATCCATACAAAATGAACACTAAAAAATCCTCTATATTTACAAGCCAGGGTGTGAACAGCTCAATATATGTGCTTGAAAGAGTGTTTGACACAATGTAGTAACCAATATTACCATTAGCCTAAAAACAAAAATTAAATGTCGTAATCTATGTCTGTGTTGTTCTGTGACAACGATCGCTTTACCAGTCTTCCCTGCTCATCATATAGGTCAAGGTTCTCACATGGTGCAGGGAAAATAGACCCTATTACACGACCCTCCACAAAGGAGCACTGGAAGATATGCTTCTTCTTGTAGCTTAAACCAACAGACATATCCTGAAAGCTTACATCCTTGACAGGGATCTCTTCACTGCCGTCGATCCGAACTGGAACACGAACACCCTGGCCATGGATTCCACTATAAGTTATGTTCTTGATTATGGGCACAGCTGCAGGGTCAAAGCCTTCGTCAGGATGCTCATTGTAATCTGTCTTTATCACAATTCCAACACGAACATTATCAAGGGTCACATTTCGATAGAAGATGTTGCGTACATAACCACCTCTCCCTGGGGCTGTCTTTATTCTGATGCCTCGTCTCGACTCCCAAACAATAAGGTTTTCCACTGTGATATTTGAAACTCCACCAGACATCTCACTGCCTATGGATATGCCAGCACTGTGATCAACAAATATAGGTCCAATGAAAATATAAGAATGATAGAAAAGCTTAAAACAGTAGACAATTAAGCTGAGCAGAAATAATCCCACTAATTTCTTCCTTTACCTGCAGACTGTTAATAAAGTTAGAAGCTCAATTTAGGACAAGAAACCTATATAAAAATAAGCCAACCTTTCACATAAAATTAAGTCTAACCACAGTATTGAAACCTAAAATTAAGTCTCTGGACCTTATCCTAACAAAGGGTTCACCTTGTCTTACGCTCAAAAACTCATAGGTGCTTATCCCCTTATTTGTTCTTGTTTTTTGTCCAGTGATTTTCTGTTCAAATCAGAAAAAAAAAAAACGCACAGGATTATCTTAGAGCTGCAGGAGACCTCCTTCCATTACTTGTCTGCTGATGACAGCAATCTTCCCTGGAGCTACTATTAATTAGTGTCAACAGATTGAAAAAAACTTTTAAGTTAGAGGGTAGCTCAGGTTAAAGGGTTAATCTGGACAAGTCCAAAATATTTGTAGTTAAATTGTCTTCCAACAATTGCATCAGGAGATACAGGATGCTCGGAATGTACAGGTGTAAGAGATCATAAATGTCACCTGGTACAGTCAGGCTGGATTGGTAAATTTAGAAATAGTTGTTTATAAATGTTGAGAGATAAACCAAAAATCTTGAACAATGGAGTCTTTATCTCAACATCACCTTTGTCACAGTTAGGAGGGTAAACGTTAGTCAAGATTCCTTATAACCAGTGTACTTCAGTCACTACTTAACCTAATGAAAATTGATAACCGATGGCAAGCATGTCTTTGAAGAAATATATTTTGCAAGAATACACAATGTATCTACAACTTTTGGGGGATAAATATGTAACTTTGTCAATTTGTAAGGATATAATAGCCAAGGAAATCTTACCTCACCACAGATTGAACAGTGAGATTACGGAGTGTGATGTTAGCAGATGGACGCCCATATGCTATGCCATACTGGTCCCAGCCACTCTTTATGGCTACTGCATCATCACCGACACATATGTAACAGTTCTCTATCAACACATCCTCGCAAGAATCTGCAGAGAGCAAGAGAAGCTGCCAGAATTAGAACAATAGTGGTTAATGAACAAGACTATTATTGAATTCACACAAACTGCAAATTAGATCTGGTTATTATGAATCGGATTGAGTTATTTAATTGATTTTTTGGTTGAGAATAAATAACAGGAGCAAATATGTGTGTCATTGTTTCTATAAGCATTACGAAGAAAGAGTGGTCGAGAGTGGTAAGTCAGCAAAAGGAACCAACTCACATATTGTTAATAACAAAAAGATTCAAGTACTCGATTTACAAATTATCAGTAAGAGATCTGAAAAAAAAACTTATTAAATAAGATGGTTCAGTAAAACAGAAGAAAGATATCTAATGATTAATTTTTCTAAAGTCCACAACGTACCATCAATACTTATAACAAAATTATGCCCATGGAAGCATGCTTACCTGGGTCAATACCATCTGTGTTTGGAGCTCCGGAAACAGGAGCCAAGATGGTAACATGCGAGATGGTTACATTCTTGCAGTCATAGGGATGCAGTGTCCAAAAAGGGGAGTCACGCAGAGTTATGTTAGAGATGACTATATCCTTGGACCACATGAGCTGCACAAGAGGTCCTCTCGTGTAGTTGAGAATTCTTTTCTTGTATTTCGTCCACCACACTTGACCTTGACCATTTATTGTACCATTATGTCCTGTTTCATACACAAGAAATGCCTTTAAGCAAGCAAGGTGCTTCCACAATGCTTATCGACAATACCTCAATCACAAAAGCATCATTTTCAAGTGGTTCATCAGCAATGAAATCATAAAAAACTATCAGGCATTTAGTTAATATGAGGTTCTAAAAAATTATGACTATAAGATCATACATCTGCAACAACATAGAGACACCAATTCTAGAAATCAATCCACTCACTGCTTACACTTGTTCAAAAGTTGTTTGACAACACCACCGAAGATATATATATACTAATAAGAAACAGAAAAGCTTTTAATATAAACCTTTCTACATATGTTTTGGTGAATGATTGAAATAAAGCATCATGTTTTCCCATGTATTCATAAAGAACAAAAGTTCATAAATGCTGCAAGAAAGAGTAATGACCGAAGAAGTTTAACTTCTTGCAAAGCGTTCCCCTTAATGCTGGTGAATCACTGATTGTTAGGTTGTGTGACCTTGTCCTTCTATTACCATGCTATTCCAGGTGATAAACAGCTAGGAGCTCATTGATGTGCATGTGAGGGAAAATAACAAAACTGAAACTTGGCCTTGAGAGGTTTCTATGAAACCATACTAATTTTTGGAGCAATGTTTCTAACTAAGCTGAATAGAGATGATGAGGTGACAAAATTTTAGAAAATACAACTAGGATATCTGATTTTCAATGGACCATTAAGAAGAATCTTCCTTAGAGCATGTCTTGGAATAAGTTCTTGAAAATGAAGACCACTGACTTAAAGTCTCTTCGACTAAGTGTCTTCAAATCCAGACTTCATGAGTTTTGGTGGTCAACTCTGAGAAATACTTGATGCTTCTATAATTGTAAACTTATCAACTATGCATCACTAATACTAAATGGCCTTTCACCAAAAAAAAAAAACAAAAAAAGCTTGGCATTTGTGGTATATTAACTAAGTTGTTCATTCTTTGTGATAGTTTAGGTACACATCTGTAAGATGCAACAGGTATCTGCAGAGGTCCATATAGTTTATGAGAAAACAAGAAAACACCTTCTAATTTAGTCTTCCTTATGTGATTGATAAATTGATTTAGGTCACAATTTCCAGTGACTTTAGCTTCTAATTCAGTCTTCCCTCAGAAAAGGATTCACTTTATGGAAAAAACATATGAAGAGAAATATGAAGTGCCACAATAAAAGTAAATGTGCTGACCAGTTATAACAATATCCTTCAGATTTTGACCATGTATGAGGCTTCCATATCGAGGCCCTTTGTGCTCCCGCCCATATCCATATGATGGCAAAGGAGGCATCAGTTGCCAATAACTCTCATCCTGATTAAGAAAAAGCTCGAGTAATTGACAAAAGTGAATAATCATGTGACTATTATACATAATTGGATATTGTGCTTAAACTGAGCATGATGCACAAAATGGCTGCTAGCAGGTTTGGTTCATCACTAGAACATTAAAGAAGATGTATGTAAAACTGAGAAGGAGAACATGAATTTTAATTAAATGAACATCCTGTTTGTTGATGATGACCTACATACCAAATTCTGCAAAAACAACAAGTTGCAAGGTACCATGTGGATCTAGAAATTAAGGCTAGTGTTCATCAACCCTTCCTAAATATCTTCACTGTTATACCTTTTCACTCGATCAGTCCACAACTCACAAGTAATTTATGACAGATAAATAAAGAGAAAAACTAGAATATTTACCTCTATTCCCAGAATCACTGCGCCCTCCGCGAGGAAGAGAGTCATGTGACTGGTGAGATTGAAGGGTGCCGTAAGCCAGAACCCGGGCGGCACGTTGAGCTGCCCGCCCCCCCTGGCCCCAAGCGTCGAAATCGCCTCCACCGCGCGCTCAAACGCCTCGGTGTTGAGCGTCTTCCCGTCCCCAACGCCGCCGAAATCCGTCAAATTGTACGCCACAGGCCGCAGCCTGGGGACCGGCCGCGCCACCGGCCCCCTCCGGAAGAACGCGACGCCGTCCATCGAGCTCAGTTGCCACCCGAACACCAGTGCGAATCCCACGATCCAGAGCACCAAAACCAGCGTCCTGTGGGTGGTGAGCAGTCCCACCAGCCATCGCGGGTGATGCTGCAACGGCAATCTCCACCGGGAGGAAAAGATCTCCACCATGATCTGATCCCAATCAATTCTTCAACAAAGCCCTACGAATCGATCGGATCGTCCACTCTGTTCCACGAGAAGAGATGAACGGACATCAATTGGCAGAAAGCTAGGGTTTTGGCCATGGAAGAAAGGGATCGGAAGTCATAAGACGGGCGGGAGGAGGAGGGAAGTTGAAGGGAAACCGGAGGCGAGTACTATCGAAAGCCAGGAAAACGAGTATTTAACGTCTGTGAGCCTCTTTGTAGCCTTACGATCTTGATCCAACGGTTCGAATCTTCCAGTAAACCATTACCAAGCTCACGGGAGAGGGATTAGTTAGATTGCCACCGCTTTTTTACTAACCAGCAAGATTTCCTATATTGGCTAAAGGGAGAATCTTTAATCTAATTTGAGCAATTAAAGTCCCAAGTTTTGGATCCTAATTTCTATCTCAAGAAGAGTCTCTTCCCTTTATAAAAAGAACAAATTACCTTCAGTTTAAGAAGAAGAAACAGTTTTGGTCAAAATCCAATTTGGGGTGAGCCACAATTTAGCTAAATTAGTCCAGTAGATTGGATCAATTATAGTTTCTTTTGGTTGCCGAATAAAAAAAAAATTTATTTTTTTTATTTTTTATTATCATTCATTCACAATGAATTGTTACAAGTATTATAAGATTTTTTTAAAAAAAAGAAACCTAAATTTAAGATAAAAGAAAAATTAGAATTTTTGTCATACTATTTTGAATTATGTCAAGAGCCTTACAATTCAAAATTCTCAAATAAATTATTTTATAATACCTCAAAACCTGTAGTAAGATGGATAGCTATGGTTAGTGAGAATTTTAATTAATTAAAAATCAAATATAATATTTTTAAATAGAGTTATAATGTTTTGGTTTGGTGGTAAAAAAAACATTATAAGTTCATTGAGAAGCTAATATATTTTTTTATTATATTTCTTAGAAAATAAAAATAAATATTATAAGATTTCTTAAAATTTGTGGACCTAATTTAGGTAAAAGAAATGATGATAAATTATTCTTTATTTTGAAATACATCAAAATATTCCTAACTCTAATCCCAAACGACTCTCAAAAAGATCATTTATTGAAGCCTTAAGGTATAAAATAAGAAAGATGATTAATATTCATGTGAATTTAAATTAATTAAGGTGAGATTGTGGTGTTTCATGACATGGACTCCTATGTGTATAGTTTAATAATAAAAAGACATTAAAATCAGTTCAATTGAACCAAAAATACCGTATTCTCATTGATAAATATTATAAACTAGTTCGGTTTAACACTGAACTAATTAGACCAATTTGGTCTAGTTGGGTATCAGCAAGAATTTTAAAAAATAAAATTATCAATTGTTAATAAGGATATTTTTGTTATTTTAAATTTTTGTCCCTTTATGCATCTTAAAAATGAGGGACGCTATTAGAAAAAAAAAAAAGACTTTGGTAATAGAAGAACATGAATATAATATGATTTAAGTCTCTTCCATGTATCTAATATGCCATGTCAGCGTTGACCATTATCACGTCACCACCAGGTTGTATCAAGTCAGTAGTAACCATTGATACAACAGACTGCGCTGCAGTCTACATCAAATCTACCAATATCATCACTGCCTTATCAATGTTGACCACTACAAGTCAGCGTTGACCAGTTAAACGTCAACGCTGACCAGAACCTCGACAGCGTTGTGTTGTGTTACGTCCGTTATGACGCAGTTGGTTACACTATAGCTCAAATGGAATTTGTCATTTCAGTGTTGTTTGTTGCCACGTTAACATTGACCCCTGCCACATCAGCATGACTGTTGACACAACAGGCCAGTCACCTAGCCAAATCAGTGCAATTTGACTGGATTAACTTAAATCTAGTTGACTCAATCTTGACTTGAATCAAACCTCATCCTGATTGAACCCAAGTCGTGCACCCTAATTGAACCCAAATATTATATGCAGTTAAATTCGACCACATCTTGATTGAGCCCCAGCTAGTGGGGCGTGCCCAATCCATAGGTTGGCGTTGGTGGGTCGATCCCAAATCAAGCCCCATGAGCAGGAACAAAATTAGAATATAGATCATTAATAAAACACTTATTTTCCATCTTAGCTTTTCAAACTGACTTATTAATAGTAAAATCTTCTTATAATAGATTTATGATATTACATGATGATGCTGTCAACAATCACTAGGACAAACATACTTTTGCAATAGAAGAACATGAATCTAAAATGATTTTAAGTCTCTTCCATCCATTAAATTTATATATGTTTGCAAATAAGCACAATGATCCAATTTAAACACAAAATTGAAGAGAAATGAAATTTGGATTTCCACTTGAAATATTAAAAAAATAAAGTTCCTCAATATGAAGTGAGTTAGTACTAAGTGGTCCAGATGGAATTCAATTTTTCATTATAGATTTTATAAATAATCCAAATTTGTTACTAATTTACTGGAATTATTTCAACCAATTAAAAATAGAAGAAAAAAGGAAAAAAAAAAAAAAAAGGATATCAACAGCTTGTAGTGAACCAACTTTCTCTACAGTAGAATTTGATTGGATTTAAGGAAAATAAGAACCCTAATTCCTTCCTATCTCTCATCATCACCTTCCAAACACATGTTGGCCTCTCATTGGTTATTGATGCATGGAAGCCAAGTCCTCCCATATCCACACCCCAGTAGATAAAGGTCAGCTCCTCATGGAAAAGTGGAGGTGGTCACTCATCCATGGCACTGGCAATTGCTTCCTCCGCACTCTGCAGTCCTCATCTCAGGTCTGTAGCAGGCTTGCATCCTTCTCTCCTCTGCTTCCTTCTCATTAAGTTCTGCAAGCTGTTTGTTGCCACATTCTAAGTATGCTTGCTTTCACATGATGATGGATGGCAGAGTGCAGGCTTCCAAGCCGGTCCCAGGGAACACTAGGGCTTGTTCAAGGTCACCTACTCGCTTACATGCAACTAAAGGAGTGTCCAGTGTGTGCCAGCCACTGCCTCCAGATAGACCTCTATGGTTTCCTGGGAGCTCACCTCCTGAGTGGCTGGATGGCAGGTGAGCTGGTCCTCCATCTTTTTTCCAAGTTAGCTTTATCTGGTCTCACAAAATTTAGGTTACTAATGTTTATCTGCGTGGTCATGTAGTCTTCCTGGAGACTTTGGGTTTGATCCTCTTGGGCTAGGTAAGAATTTGGCATAATCATCATGACGATATGTTGTTTGCTTGTCGCATTTTAGGGTGCTCCTTTTGTATGATGAAATGCCTCAAAGACCAAAAATGAGAAGAACAGGACCAACACTTGCAATTTCTGATCCTTTGATTGCTGTGGATATTACAGGATCTGACCCTGAGCTACTTCGGTGGTTCGCTCAGGCCGAACTAATGCACAGTAGATGGGCGATGCTTGCTGTCGCCGGCATTCTTATCCCCGAATGCCTAGAGAAGCTTGGATTTATCGAGAACTTCTCATGGTATGATGCTGGGGCTCAGCAGTACTTTGCGGATCCTTTGACATTATTTGTAGTTCAAATGGCTCTGATGGGATGGGTTGAGGGAAGAAGGTGGGCGGACTACCTGAATCCTGGGTGTGTCGATATCGAACCCAAGTTCCCAAACCGCAAAAATCCCAAGCCTGATGTAGGCTATCCTGGTGGACTGTGGTTTGATTTTATGATGTGGGGTCGCGGGTCACCGGAGCCGGTGATGGTACTGAGGACTAAGGAGATTAAGAATGGCAGATTAGCAATGCTTGCTTTCATGGGATTTTGGTTCCAAGCTATTTACACTAAAGAGGGTCCGCTAGACAATTTAATGGCTCACATCGCTGATCCTGGGCATTGCAACATCTTCTCGGTACGTGATTAAGCCCCTTCTCTTTGTTATATACAAATAAATAGTTCATCCTAGTAAATGATTATACAGACACCTACTAAAATAAGTGAAAATATCCATCGAAGGCCAAAATTTGAGTGTGCCATGGCATGTACTTAGCAGAGCCAAAGAGTATAGCCTCCTAAATGGTGAAAACAACAAAAGAACATCCCTATACTGAATCAGTTCAGATTAATTAGTATTACTTGATACATAGGCAAATAAAATTTGCAAGAGATCAGGTATATAGGCATTCATATAAGAGTCAAGAAGAAAGCATTTTGTAAGCATCTACATGGTCTTCTTTCATTGGCTAAATGCATACATGGACACACTTGTGATTGGGGATGTAGCTTGTGTTTCTACAGAACTCATTTTTTAGATGTTCAATCTTTAAACATGTCAAATATATCAATTTTCTGACTTGTAGGACATCAGTTTTACACTATGTTTGACTTATTTTACATGCTAGAAGTACAATGAAAAACAGAGTGAGCTGCAATAATTTTGTCAGGCAATTCTCTACATTTTCAAAGCAAAAAAAATATCATATCATAAAGAAATGGCTGGCCCCATTTGTAAATGAGTTTACGAGAATCCCACTTTTCTAAACATGTTATTTTGTGCATGCAGGCATTTGTATCTAATTGACCCTTAGACATGGCACATGATTATGGATGAAAGATTTATTGAAGGCCAAAATATAGATCGGAGATGAAAGATGGAGTCAATATGGAATGTAACAGTGAAATTTGCAACTGATAATCTCTTTGTAGAGGTTTGTACATGCTTCAACATATATGCTGATCTGTCCCAAATGTTCCATATGTGTCAAACATTGAATCTGATACCCAATAGCAAGATTGCTGAAACAGTATATTGCAGATTTTGGGCTTGAATCTCACCTTTGTCATTTATCCTTCGAAAAAAAAAAGGAAGATTGCTGGAACAGTTCTTCGCTACTTATCCTTTGCAAAAGAAAAAAAAAAAAAGGATTGCTGGAACACCCTTCTCCAATGTGAGTTTTAAGTTGCATTTCTTATTTTTCACTAACTTTTCTGTAGCAGCATTTCTACCCTTGTTTACATGATGACTAGATATATTGTCCTCTCATGAACTTGGCTCCTGAGATTTACCTCATTCACTCCCATGAATTCTCTTTGGGCAGCATGCATAACAGTATCATTCCTCTGTTGCAAAAGCTTTCTCGGAATAGGCCAGAAAATTTTCTTTTTGCATTATGAAATGATCACCATTTAGATTGTAGACAGCTCTACTCTTGGACCTTTTATTGCACCTGACATAATGCAATAAATAGCACAAAGTTCTACGTTCAGGTGATCTGAGTTATCTTGGCAGCATAGCAGTGTCTAATTTAGGTCACTGCCTTAGTCCAATGCAAGTGCTTGCCATCGGTTGATAATATGTCCAGCAACAGCATGCTTGTCTTCTCAAGTAAAAGAAAAATAAGCTATGTTCATCAGGCCAATTTAAATCTTGGCTTCTTCTGATTGAGATTGATAGTGGATGATACACATACAATAATGTCTTCCTTGCACAAAACCTTTCCTCCTGTATGACCAAGGAATATGCCCCATTAGAGCCATGGAACATCACAAGAGCCATGCAAATTTTGCTCTCCTATAAAAGAGAAAATAAAAAAATCATGTAGCATTACTTGCATTTCCATTTCTTCTCGCTTCCTTCCAGTTGATGCCAAACTTGATAAATTGGCGTAGTCACCCTCCACATGAGAAATTTGATGATGATGATGATGATGATACATTGATGCAATGTAGCTTATTGATGAGTTTGCACCGCTTTTTTTCTTTTTTTTTTCTGTTTTGGAAATTAAAGTGAATTTAGTGCTCTTTGCACACATTAATTATTCCAACCCTTTTCCCTACCCATTATGATCTTGTACTTCTCTGACAAAATAAGATTCGTATAGTTTCTTGAGCAGTAATGTTGGTTCATAAATAGAAACGCAATGTGCTGTGTATATACTATTTGATGTGTTAGTGTTATTATATCTAAATAAGTAGAGTTGGATGCCCCGAACAGAGGTTTAATTAGATGCGTACTTTTGTCGCATGGCATTCACGTGCATGCCACATATAATACAAAATATCAACGAAACTCCTAATATTTTTAGCACCATGATGAGTTTAAAGGATATTATTTAAATTAACGTTTTAGCTAAGGATATGTACAATAATGTCTCCCCAATTTTTTTATTTTGTTTTTGCTCATATATATATATATATATATATATATATATATATATATATATATATATATATATATATATATATAGTATTTTTTAGACAAATATTCTTTTTTTATTTTTTTTCCAAAAGGTCTCTCCTAAATTTGTTTTTCCTACATAATATCATTATTTTCTATAATCCTCTAAATATCTTTACCCTTTCTCACTCATTGCCTCCACCCCACCGGTATAGCTCGTCTTTTCTTGCTTGTTGTCTTCGATGTTTTTGCCATTTGCTCATATCGCAAAGCCTACTTGTCTCTATGCGGCATTGCCTACCCTTCACTGATCGTCACCTTTGATGCCTTCGCTCCCTGCTCCCACCAAGAGGCCTTGCCTCTTTTGAGGAGAAAGGGAGATGGGGGGAGAGGAGGCGATTAGTGAATGGTGCTTGATCAAGAACGATCTTAATAGCCCTCAATTGATTTGTTCAAGTAATATTCATATCATAGTAGCTTACTAACCTCAATTCCAATCATAGTTGAACTAGAATTAGGATAACCCTCACTTAAATAGATAAAACCACAAGAAGAGAGTAGCGCCAACTCCTAATAGGAGTTGAACTTCCATGCACCAATCATAAATAAGTTTTAATAATATTAGAACTTTTCAAGTCTTAAATAAGTTAGAACTCCTAAGTTGTAAAGGCATTATGACTTTGCAAGTCTAAAGTACTTAAATCTTAATTGTATTAAGACTCTTTAAGTTCTAACCTAATAAGGACTTCACTCATTCCACAATTATAAAAAGGATGATGAGAGCTCCAAAGTATCACCAAAGTAAAAAAAAATAAAGCTTTTAGCAGAGAGTTAATCGACCCTAGTTTTGCAACCTTAGAAAAGTAAAGAAGAGCGAGGACGAGACAGAGATGAATTATGCATTGCTACAACCAACTTCTTCTAGCTGCAGCTTTTCTTTCTCATATTTCAGCAACCTAAAGCTTCATCTAGCAGCTACGAGAAGTCTTCAACACCTCTTTTCTATTATTTAAAACTCTAGAAGGAGGTTCCAGTGACAAAGAGATAAGGAGGAAGCGCTAATGTGTTGTCTAAAATAATTTACATTTTCACACGCATATAAACTTTTTTTTCCTGCTTCTATTATCACTGTTTCAAATCTCGGTTTTAACTTTACAAATATAGAGGTTATTTTCTTTCTATTTTATACTTGATTTGTTTTGTGATAATTCTCTCCTCCATCAAAACTTTTACCCTAAAGGTAGTATCAAGTTGATAGATCGTCGAACCTGAACCTCATATAAATCTAAGTGGTATTAGAGCAATAGTCTTGTTAATGATAACCACAAGACAAGGATATAAAGAATTAAGCAAAGAACTTCAGGAGTTGAAACCGAAGCCATGATTATCCGAAGAAAGAAACACCGATAGGATGACAGCTAACAACCCAATAGTGTTAGCTAACTTTATTATCTAAATGATAATAGATGTACCACTCGCTAGCATACTCAATCATTAAGGAATGTGTCCTTTTACTATCATCTTCACTTTTAAGTTAAATCAGGTAAATATAAGTTTAATTTACTATAGAATAATGGTTGTATAAATTATCATATTCATAATACATTTTGATATGATTGTCATGAGTAAGGCATGAGCTAAGTGTGAATGTATATATTTTATAAGCATAAAAATATATGAATTACGATAAAAATATCTTGTATGTATGCATATATATATATAATGATATGTGATGTGAGAGTGTATGTATTTTTTTTATGACATGTAGTGTGTGAATGCATGATATGTAATTACTTACGATACATGTATATGCTATGATATATGGTGTGAAAGTGCATGTATGTATTATAACGTGCGATGTAGGAGTGCACATATATATTATGATAAGTGGTGTAAGAGTGCACGTATATATTATAATGATATGCGGTGTGAGAGTGCACATATATATTATGATATGGGGAGTAAAATTTATAAATTTGTTATGTTTTTTATATATGCATATAAGTACTTTGAATTATTTCGATGTAAAATTTTATCTTTTTATTTTGCATATATTACATTGTAGGACTATATTTGCAAAAAAAGTCATAGAATAAGAGATTTACAATCAAATATCTTTTACCGACGATTTTCACATATTATAATATGACATGATACATGCTTATCTAAATAAAGCTATAAAGGTTTATACTTACTGAGTGATTACTTAGATCTTATTTTATAAATAAATATATTGATATCTCACCCATATGATTGGACAAGAAAATGAGCACATGTGAGCCCATACTAGTGTACATATAAACAATATCCGGTGGACATTTATATGTGTATAATCTTTAGACATATTGTGTGGGCATATTTTTCTTTTGGTTAGAAGTTATTATTATATACAAGTATCAAAATCATTATGTACAGGAAAACTCTATCATTATATTTAGTAAATTAATAGGTTTTATTTTTAAGATTATCTATTTTTTGTTACACTATTATTGATAGTAGTAAAAGAATTGAAAAATAACATGATACTAGGGTATCGATGGGATTAGGAGTTGGATGTTACATCTAGAGATCCATTAATTAATACTTCATTAGTATTGATTGAGAGATAAGCTTTAGTGTTCTTTTGTCTTCTTCTTTGTTAAAAACTAACTTATCTTTTTGTTCTTCAAAGATTGATATAATATCTTTATCATATATTACATCTTTAAAACTATCCAAGGATTCTTTTAAACCTTTTGCATCGAGAAAGTTATCATCATAAATTTTAATCTCTATTAATCTTTTTCATTAAATCTAAATAATAACAAGATCCAAAATAAATTATAAAAATCATCATCTAGACATTCAATGTTCTCTTTTGCAAGTGATCAAGCTTTCAATTCGTTGATCTTTCTCTATCAATTAATTGATGTTGTGATGGTCTTTTTCTATCAACTAATTGATGTCATGGTAATTTTTTCTGATCATCTTTGTCCGACTACAATCTATCGTATCAATTGTTTTCTTAATCTTGATATCTTCTCTTATTTAGTGATTGTCATGATTTTGTATATTTTTCTCTCTATAGTTTATCTCTCTATAATTTTCTATTTCCATAATCTCTCTCTCCTCAAGTTTTTTTTCTCATTGGATTTTCTCTCTCTAGTAGTTTCTCTTTCATCATCTTATTTCTTTCTCTAAAAAGATTCTCAGCGTGATTTGCTCTTTATTAATCTATCTTTTTTGACTTTGAGATTAGCGATAGGAGTTGCTCTCTCTCTTAATTTATCTTGAACTAATTCAATCTTGAAAAATCTAAAGAAAAGATGATAATTAACAAAAAAAAATCATATATATATAGGAATGTCAATATAGGAGAATAGAGGAGATATTTCAAAACTAAAACACATATTAAATTTGATAATTTATATTATCTGTTTCTCTATTTCTTTTTTTCCCGATATCCCATCACTCCTATCTAAAGCATTAGATAGGAGTTCTTATCAATTATTAAATTAAAATTATATTTGATAATAAAATTTAATTGAATAGTTGAACAGAAAATGTATTCCTCTTCTAATGTTCAAATAAAAACATTTACGCATGAGTTGGAGAATGGGATGACACAAAGAAATACCACATAAAAATTAAAATCCCTTTTATAAATCTCATAGAATAATGATAATTACCGATCACTTGGAGATATTGTAAATCTAGATGATGATCATTCAAAAATTAATATATAAACTCATAGTTCCGATTTGATTTGATTTGATTTGATTTGATGGTAACATGAAATAATCCAACTGGCTAGTGGCTAAACTACAATAAAATCCCCAAATTTTGTTTGAGAATACCAATTAAAAGAAGATCAACTTTCTTGTAGACTATGTATAATATATAAATTACAAAATAAATATTTGAAAATGGAAAGAAATGGTGTAATAAGATGTGAATGAATCCCTACGTAGAACAAAACCTAAAAGACTTCTACCACTACCGTAAAAGCAACGACAACCCAACCGCTATAACGGTCGAAGCCAACCTGTCCCGCCACCTCCGCGCAGGCGCTCCACCGTTCGTCTCCGGGCTGCTGGTCGACGGCGCCGACGGCATCGCGCCTCGGTAGTTCGGGTTGCTTCCGTACAAACTCTGTATCCCCTCGACGTCGTCGGTCGTCAGCTCCACCTTCCTAGTCCGTGTCTTGATCGCCGGGTACATTATGGCGTCGGCGGCCGCCGAGTGGCCGAGTCCCAGCAGGTGCCCGATCTCGTGGACCGCCACCGACTCCAAGTCCACCGCCACGTCCGAGCTGCCCTTCGTCATGTCCCCCTCGGCCACCCACGCCTCCGCGGCGTCCAGGTGGAGCCGCCCGTCCGTCGGCGAGAAGGCGTGCCCCAACGTGCCCAGCACCCCGTCGAACGGCTCCCCGTCCCCATGCTCTCCCCGATAGAAACCGATCGTTATGTCGGCGTCCGCCGCCGAGTCCGTCTCCTCGAACGTCAGCGTGGTCGCGGAGGACCACCGCCCAAAGGCGCGGGCGAAGACGGCCTTGAGGACGGCGCGGTCGATGGGGACGTCGGAGGTGGCGGTGATGGCGTACTTGAGGTTGCGGCGCCAGAAGGGCCAAGTAGGAGCGTCCGGGAAGTAGGCGTACAGGTTTCGTCCAGGGAGGGCCGAGGAGCCGTTGACGAAGTCGGCGACGCCGCAGCGAGGGGCCATGAGTTGGTCGACGGTAGGCTCGTCGATCTCACCGGTGGCGTTGAGGCCGAAGAAGCGTTGGTAGGACTGGATGGCGATCTCAAGTGCGTCGTCGAAGGAATCGGTGGAGTTCATCGACGAAGTAGGGAGGTAGCCGAAGTGCTTGAGATAATGCTTGAGGCCGGCGAGGCCGGGCTTGTCGTCGCCGTGGTGGCAGCCGGAGAGGTTCCGGAAGGGGAGCCAGGGGTTAATGGTGGGCGGAGGCGGAGGGAAGAAGAAGGTGGAGGCCGAGAGCGATGAAGCCGGCAAGAGGAGGAATCCGGCGATGGCCGCAAGGAGGAGGAAAGAGTTGGAGGAGGTCATGGTTTTGGGCTTTGGTATGGAAGGAGGGGAGAGTAGTTTGGAAGATTACTTCTAATCACTCACGAAGCTTATATTAATTTCAATGACCTAAGAAAGGAAGATTTGGCTTAAGGCCTATAGTGTTTGCTGTTGTGGATGTATGATGTGGGAAGCATAAACAAGTCAATCAATCAATCAATTAATAATAATAATAATATTATTATTATTATTATATAGAAAATCTTGCTGCAATTAAAATATTAAGAATAAATAAATGAATAAACCAGATGTCCTTTCTAGAATCATAAAGTCATTGTCAGTGGGATTAGGTGTCCTACCTCTAATATGTTGAATTAGAGTTCAAGTTGGCTAAAAGTGGATGAGCTACAAGTAGAATGTTTTGCAACTTAAATAAATGAGAGGAGGGGATGTGGCCACTGCCACCTCTTTCAAAAGATGCCACGTAGGACAAAGAATTTAGGAAAATGACAATGAATTTTTTTTTTTTTTTTGTGATTTAAAACACCGGTCAGACTGATACTTGTCGATCTAATCAAACACTACTAATTAAATTTCTTACTTGATGTGACAATCAGATACCTTAGTACACGTGGTCATTGACAATTGGTCAACCTCGTTTTTATGATTAGACCATCTAACCACCAAGGAACCGACCGTATATTGACCGGCCATTGGAGCCTTCTCATTCTTCTCCATGGATTGAAGGCATCATCTTCTTCTTCAGATAATATTATGTGCACATAGCTAACTGTGACTATTCCTTCAGAACAAGAAAACAAAGACAAATTGGCTGTCTGCATTTGGATACCATAATCAAAAGCAATCATTACCCATGAATCTCTTTTTTGCCAGCTATTGAAATGGTGGAGAGCTTCTACTTTGTGATGCTTCATCCTATCCTTGACACACTGTTCCATGTTGATGAGGCAAGATTTGTTGTTGCATCGAATCAGTAAAAATTGTAGGTGAAGCCGAACTAAATGGCAACAGCATTTTAAATGGCCATTTTCTGCCCAGCACATAACAGGTAACTAATATGCAGCATTACAACAATAATAACCTAACAAGGCAAAGAGTTACAAAGCAGATGAAAAGCACTGTTCTCGCAAGAAGAGATCTATTGTGACTAAACAACTGTCTGTATATATTACAAGAAAAAAAATTGCACCCGTCATAGTGGCGATTTCGTTGGAATACCAGGATGACGAGGAAACCTTTTCGGCGTTGCACGGTCTTTCAAACAGATAACAGTAGTTCTTTGTCCTTTTGGGCTATGTGATTCCACTGGAAATGACAACAACACTAGTTAGAAATTGCTGATAACTCACAGGCCATTATTACTTGTAATTGTAGTTGCATTTTCCTAGCAACAACACAAAGGAAGTTACAAACAAATTATGATATCAGCAAGAAACAGACTATCCCCCCAGCCTATCTCACATGAACAATGGGAAAGCGGCTCCCAGAACTTGAAATATGTACCATGATTCGATGGTTGAAAGAGAGATTGAATTTCTAGTCCAAAAATTTAGAAAGAAATAAGAGAACATGAGGCAGCTCCGCAATCATGCCCCTAAAGAAGATTTTTGCAGCATACGAATTGATAGTGCCGAAAGAACTTCCACGCAAAGATTCAGATGATAAATTAAATCTCTTTTCCAGTATTCTAGGGCTTGAAGCTGCAAAATGAGATGTTTTATCAAATGACTGATCAAGATGTAATTCTTAAGATGTCTTTCTCAGTCCATACCCTTGCCACTTCTTCTTGGAGGATGATTTTCTGTTTGGTACTAAGTCCATGTCAATTTTTCAAGTCAAGATCATAATGGATATACCAAGCCAATATGAAAAAATAAAAGTGGTCATCAGAAATTCAATTGAAAAGTTGTAAGAGATGAGGATAATGAAAAAGATAAGAATGAAAGGCATATCAATCACAAAGTAGAAATAATGAACCACATCACAAATGTTTATTTAAGCTATTCCAGCAGCTTCTTCACTTCCCGCAGCAAAAGTCCACCTGATAGACCAGTCTATTTAAGCCCTCCTTCTCAAGGTGCATTTGTGTTTTCTATAAGTATGCAAGTATCGAATGCAGCTTCTACAAGTGGGGGCAAAATGATGCTACCATGTCATATAAATGGGATTTTTGGAAGATGACATGTCAAACTTAATTGTATCTCTTTGGCAAAAGTGAATTATGGCTTAAGTTGCCTAACTCATGTTTTAAACTGTTTTAAACATCTCTTTTTTAAATGAAAGGCATATTAATCACAAAGTAGAAATAATGAACCACATCACAAATGTTTGTTTAAGCTATTCCAGCAGCTTCTTCACTTCCCACAGCAAAGGTCCATCTGATAGACCAGTCTATTTAAGCCTTCCTTCTCGAGGTGCATTTGTGTTTTCTATAAGTATGCAAGTTCAAGATCGAATACAGCCTCTACAAGTGGGGGCAAAATGATGCTACCATGTCATATAAATGGGATTTTTGGAAGATGACATGTCAAACTTATTGTATATCTTTGTTGAAAGTAAGCTATGGCTTAAATTTCCTAATTCATGTTTTAAACTGTTTTAAACATCTATAACTCTCTTTCAATATATTCACCAATATATGTTTGTCAAAGTGAAAAACAGTGTACATAAACCTGTGCACAACTCTATGATGGAAGCACCCATCAACTGAATTGCTTTCCCTGCGCTTTTGACTTCTTCCTGCACAAAACATCAAGCAAGACATGACCTATTAAGAAACAAAGAAAACAAAAATACTGGTTGATAGGAATGATTAAGTCGAGCCTTTAATGACTAGAACCAATGTCGATAACTCTTATTGGACCAAATTTGAGAGGTTCTTTCTGCAGTCACATCACCTTCTAGTTTAAAACTTGAGAAATTAAGTTTCAAGAATTTTTGTCAACTTTATAAAAAAAACTCTACTTACTGTTTGTTATAAAGAGGACTGAACAACCTATTAGCTTGCTTTTACCATGAAACCCCATCCAAGGAAAAGATGGAATTTGCGAGGCTTGCCATAGAACTCCAATGGGGCTTGCTGATTAACTTGATAGATTATTTGACCTATATCCACCCCGAAGTTGACAGCTTTCCTTTCGAGGCTTTCAAAAGTCATCAATTGCTAAAAACACTCCTAATGAGGGAAGAGGATCTATGTAGTCAAATCATCATTGTCTTTTGTCAAGGAAAATTTTCTGTTACTCCAAAGGAATAGCCATTTTGGTTGACAATAAAAAAGACATAAGATAGACAGAAAAGATAGTAAAAATAGAAAAAACCCACATTCCAAATATCTTAACCTAGCGCAAACTAATGCATGACTCAAGAAGCCACTAGTTCATACTGGACAACAGACGGGAACAAGTTGTGTTCTCTGATTCTTAGTTATTGATAACAGTTATTAATGCGTGCTAGAACATGATGACATCTTAAGCTTAGCTTTTCTTTCCTTTTGTTTTACTCTCCAAACCCACTGCATAACTAGACAAGGAATAAACCCAAAGTAATCAAAACAGAAAACGGAAAAGAATTGCATTTGGCAAGCCTTCTGTTGCAGGTATAGATTGCCTGTCGTGCACTTCAAAATGCATTTAGCTAAGATCACCGTGCTAGTAAGCACATTTTGCGATTTGTGCTGGAAGGGTATTGTCACATGCCATGTCAATTCATGCTGAAGGTGCCAACATACGATAAGGCCAATTTTTGGTCTATGCTGATTAATACAATAAGAAATCACACTATTAAATAGATGTTGGCACAGGCTCATGCATGATAATCTTTGCACCTGAACTCAATGCTGAGTAGGCATGACCTTGGTTCTGGAACCGGTAGTTTTGACTCTAGGTTTTTGGGGACCGAAATTGAACAAATCCGGGAGGTTCTGGGTCTGGTTCCGAAATTGGTGATTCCAATTCCAGGTTTGGTTTTGGTTTCGACAATTTTAATTTTAAAATTATCGATTATATTGGTTTCGATTCTAGTTCCTTTTTTAAATATTTTTAAAAAAATTTAATTTTCAATTAAAAATTATTTAAAGCAACAGAAAATTCGTAATTTTATTTCAAAATTCCACTTAGAAAAGTGGATATATTTTCATACACGTAATAACAGAAAAATAAATATGCAAAATTTTGACAAATTTGTTTTTTATTATTTTTAATTATTTTTTGAATTATGAAATAGTCAAGATGCCCCTGAAAATAGCCATAGTTGACTGAGGCAAATTGGTCATTTGCCACCCTACAAAAGAATCGATCAATGGTCACTCTTGATCGTTTGCTATTTAATTTCTTTTAGTTTGGCTCATTCGAACAAGAACATTGGTTTCGACCTATGCAGTTGGAACCAGAACCGAACCGCCTAGGCCCGGTTCCAAGCCAATGAACTGCCAAAATGATTCAGTTCCAGTTTGAACCAAACCATGGTCATGCCTAACGCTGAGAATGGATGTCACTCTTATACATCACTTATTTGCAATGTGTGCCACCATTTATAATTTGATTAAATGACCTTCAAGAGTGAGTAAATTTGATAATTGCAAATCATATCCCATAAAACATGGATTCGTCAAAATTGTTTGTCATATCTGCATAAGATACACATAAGATATAGTGATTGTGGGATGCTTCTAGGATATGTGATGTAAAATAATCATTAAAGATATCAGATTCTTTTGGAAACTTAATTACACAAGTAATATCTTATCGTGGACGATGGAGATATCATTTGAGCAGTACTTATATCGACCAGTTGCAAATATAAAAAGTGTCACATGGGATACTTTCAACAATATGTAAATGATGAATGATGAATGATGAATAGAAATGACAAGATATCATGTGCAGTTCTTGGCCAAACTTTAAGTCCACAATAATTTCAAAGTTCCTTTCTAGCTTATCAAAAAAATTATATGAAGCCAAGAAAAGTAGTAACAAACTTAATTAAACTAAGGACCATAACATGAAATAATTAGACAAGGAAAATAAAATTTACCTGAGGATCAGAGCCTTTTGCAGCAATGAACAAGCCACCAACACGAACCAATGGAAGACAGTACTCAGCTGTATTAAAGAAAACTCTAAGCTAAAATAGAATGCCTAATGATCACATAATACAAAAAACATCAACATATACATTTTGCAAGTCAAAGCCTACCCAGAGTACGCATTTCCGCAACAGCTCTTGCCACTGCTACATCAAATAATTCCCTGTAATCAATGCTCTGGCCAACATTCTGCCCTACAACAAAAATGTTAATTCCAGCATATTTAGAATAGGTGATCAGAATATCATCTCAAGGCAAATCTTAATAGGTAATTTGTTGTCCGAACTCCGAACAATGTCTACAACAATAGACAAGATCAATATCAAATAAACATGTTAACCACTAACAAGCTCATCTCGGTAATGTATATTGTAAATATTTGGGATACTGGGTAAAAAATTATAGGTAAGATAATGATAAGAACCATTCCTCTTTTTGTAGTCCACAAAGTAGTCGGTGCAAAATTGACTGTCATAATAAAGCCATTACATTTATCTCTTTGCACACTTCTAGTTGTTTCAATTTCAACATTTTGGAGGCCTTTTTTTTTGCATGCATATCCTCTCAAAATACATGTATTTATGTTTACATCACCCTAATTACAAATAGTTCATCAATGCCCTTCAAAGCATGTAATACTTGCTGCTATGTAATAAAAGACACTTGTAACATCAATGGATTTGCACATATATGCAATGAAGACATGCAACAGATGCTCATGATCAACTACAAACTTTTAGAGTGACATCCATGTGAAAATTTGTTCAAGGACTAAACAAGGGTATCTTGGTCATTCTGCAACTCGGGTCAACCAGCTCATGTTTTAGATATCCATAATTAACTTGATGATCATTCATAGATGTAGGCAGGAGCACAAGAATCATATGTTGAAGGGCATTGAAGCAAACACATGCAAAAAACCTACATTTTTTAGCACATGTAGGCAAAAGAACCCTTTAAAAAACTAAATCATAGATATTTGTGTGAACTTGATTATAATATAATATTCATCCACAAAAGACATCCAAGAGATGCCATAAATGTTATCTTAATCTATCCTCCATATAATCCAAAAGTTTTTGGATTATCTGCTCGCTACCAACCATAAATACATAGCCAATTATTCACTGTTGCATACCAAACAGAAATTAAGAGGCAATTACAAAATCTCCATAATGATGCTGGTGCTAGGTTATTTAAATCTAGTGTTTGAAGTTTAAATAATTACAATATACATGTTGCAGACGCTGCTAGCTGATGATGTATTAGGAGAAGCCACTAATTAGTCTCACACCATTGATTATAATGCATGTTAAATGTCTGATTTGCATATCACCTAATTGCATGTTGACGTACTTTAAGATAAGATCAAGATGAACTACTTCAAGTCGAAAATTTCACATGTGAGAAAAATATCATTCTACAAATTAATTTATGGGCAAAAGAAAAGATAAGATACCTCTGCTCTTTCACATAAGATCTGGACATTCGACAAGCCAGTAAGAGCAACAATATGCTCCAGGAATAAGCATCTTTTCTTCATTGATTCTAAGAGAGTAACCTTCCAATCTAAAATTTACAAGAGAGAAGATATTTAATCTTAGGATAAGATTTGGGCAGATGGGCACTAAAAGCAAGAGCGAATTTCTTGTTTTATTATAATTAATGCTTCAAGAAAGGAAAATTTCATCAATAGCAATCATATTAAGTTAATCTTGCCTTCCTTTTTTTCCTACAAGTTCCTTCTTTTCCCATCTAAGTGCTGGTGCTAATTACATGGTGGATGACCACAAGTTCCTTCTTTGCCCATCTAACTTAGATATGTCAAGACTACAAGCTCCTCATGGTGGATCACCACAAATAGGGATCAGGGGATAAGTTGACGAAAAGTACACTATAGAAGCGAAGATGAAAAATGATGGCATTTTAGATACATTGGGATCGTTTGGATGGTTGAAGACATTTTAACAACTCAAAACTAGCAACGAATTAAAACTGTACTCGGTGACACCAAAGAAGGGCAGACATGAAAGGAAGTGTAGCAGACTTTGGATACACTCCATCAAAAGCACTACAAGAGACACAAATATTAGGTAATAGGACATTGATGAATATCAATATATGGGAATAAATAATTTATCCTATGGCTCGTCAAAGTATAACTCCTGATTAATCTACGATAAAATGGTTTCAAATTAGATCCCTAACTTTTTTTTTTTTGGAAACATAAGAAGGTCAAATTAGTTGGCTGAAAGCCATCTCCTTTAACAGCTTCTCCTTGTGATTCTGCCCACTGCTGAGGATATCTACTCAAATGTACCCATTGATTAACACTGGACTTCAACTAACTATGCGTGGAAGCTTTTGATCGTTGCATTAGTTCCCAGGGTTTTATCCACTAAAAATTTAAAACACTTGGAAGGAACAAATATAGAATGATTGTCAAGAAATGACAGAGAAAAGGAAGCGTAGCAGAATAATTACTAGGGCAGGCAATGGCCAGTATCAATCCAGGTAGACCGGCACCGGAGCCAACATCAACAACGTTGAGCCCGTCGCAGGGAGATGAACTACAGCAATGCGCCAGATAAGAACGCCGCAGCGGCGGGAGGATGGCGAGCGAGTCTTCGACGTGCCTCGACATCACCTCGCGCTCCTCGGTAACCGCCGTTAGATTCATCCTCTGCCACATAAAATTGCAATCGAGGACTAAGGAAATCGCTTCCAAGACTCGAGTTTTATTGCCTAACTTGTTCCGGACGGAGGGAAAGTGACGGGTATACCTGGTTCCATTGGAGCAGGGTGCGGACGTAGAGAGAGATTTGGTCCTTCTGGTTGGAAGAGAGTGAGTGGAGAGCAGGGAAGGAGAAGCTGGTGGACGAAGGGGATGAAATTTGGGCGCCGTCTTCGGGCGGGCATGGGGTGGCTTTTGTTGTCTGCTTGGCGACGGCGGTTAGGAAGCGGCCATGGCGGAGGCGAAAGGGGTGGCGATGGGAGGAGGCGGAGAAGGCCGGAACAGCGAGGCGGCCGTGGGCGATGGACATCGCTTCACTCGCTGGTGGTGGCTGCCGCCTCCACCCACCGCTGGATATAAATCGCTTCGCTCGCCGACTCCTCTCCCATCACTGCGTGAAGAAAATCTTGCCGTCCATATGTGCGAGTGCTAATCTCAAAGATATCGATCAAGTGCATACACGAATCTAAATGAATGCAGATCACGCATTGAAATCGGTATACTGTGGTGTGCAGCACATATATTTGAGCCAAAAAAAGAAAAACCGATCACGATCGGCTGTTTACTCGATTGATCAAAATCAAATCAAGCTGAGCTCCGGCAATAGGGATCATTTTAATATATTTTTAATATTATATATATGTTAATTTATGTTTTAATCCCTAGAAAATTCGCGAATTTCTATCTTAAGAGGTTAAGAAAAAAATATTTATTTTTTTCTCTCTAAATAATTATCTACATTTTCTCTATGGTTAAGGAATTTTTAATTTTTTTATTTTAAAACAAATATATTTGTGATGTCACACAGATGTAACGTAGTTGAACCAAATCAATCGAACCGATTGGATTGGTTTGATTAACAAACTAAATTAAAAATTATTGAATTATCCATGGATGAGACCGAAGACATAAGAGAGACATTGTGATATAAAATGAGCATGTAAGATAGATCTCATCCGTATCGTGTTAGAATTTGTGACTTTGATTTTGAGTACCTCGACCACACCACATCAAGTCAGTGCAATATATATATATATATATATATAAAAGATAACAGTGGCATGTGATAATATGACCAATATTAATAACACCACCACCAGTTCGAAAGGTAATGTCCCCTCATTCCTTCCTCATCTTCCATATGTGATACGTATATCTCTTCCGTCCTTCTCTCTAAAGATATATAACGCGAAGCCATGCACGTATTGATTTACGTGGAGAGGTTGTTGAACTCGTCGCAGCGCCGTCGGATCTCCCCCTTCCGGCCGGTCTTCACCCCGAACACGCTGAGCTTCTCCATGGCGTGGCTGAAGTCCTTGAAGAAGGCGGTCTGGTTGGCGGCGTAGAGCTCCACGATGGGCTTCGTCCGCGGGTCCGCCGCCAGCGCGGTGTCGGAGGCCAGCAGCCCCAGCCCCCTCAGCAGGTTCTGGTAGTACAAGTTGTCGAACTTGCCCGGCGTCATCACGTCGTTGAAGGCGGCGATGGTCGGGTCCTTGACGTAGTTGGCGCACGCCTTCTGCAGCGCCTGCGCGAACTGTGGGTTCAGCGACGGGTCGTAGGCATCCCGAGAGCCGCCGTTGAAGCCGTAGATCCGCGAGGCGAACTCGTTGCAGTGGGAAAAGCCGACGGTGTGGGCGCCGCTGAGGGCGACCATCTCCTGCACGGTGAACTTTCGCTTGGCGAAGATGGAGATGAGCTGGTCTATAGTCATGTTGGGGGAGGGGAGGTTGCCCACGACGGAGGCGGCGGTGGACGCGAGGGCGTCCTTGCGGCCGAGGCGGACGTCGAAGAAAGGCCCTCCCAGCATGGAGACCAGGTCGCGGGTGGCGAGTGCGAGAACGTCGGCGCAGGAGACGACGCCGGGGCACTGGAGCTCGAGAGCGGTCTTGGCGCGGACGACGGCGTCAAAGGCGTCCCCGGGGAGGGAGATGTTGTCGTCGGAGTCGCGCTCAGCCCGGTTGAAGGCGTTGGTGGAGATCAGCAAGGAGGCATCACAGCCGCCGACGAAACAGTCATGGAAGAAGAGGCGGAGGGCGCCTGCGGCGGTGGTGGGGGTGGTGATCTGCTTGCTGGTCACCACGTCCGACACGATCTGCTCCGCCTTGGGGCACCTCTTCTGGTAGTACGTGGTGCTGAGCTTCGCGGCCACAGGGCTGGCGAGGCAAAGCACCGCGACCAAGACAGCGATCCAGGCTCCCGGGAGACGGCTCGCCATCCTAACGAGCTTCATATCTTCCCGGAGCACTGCGAACGGGATTAGGTGATGATGGAAGATAGGAAGGGTTGGGGTGGCTGACAGGAAGCATAGAGAGGTAGGTTGTGGAAGAGAGAAGACAGATGATGTGGAGGGAGGAGAGGAAATGGGGGAAAAGAGAGTGGCGGGGAGGGGTTGTAGGGAGAATGGTTTAGAAGAGGAAGCCTTGGATTAGTAAACCAAGTATATAATTTATTTATACATAAATAAATCAATAATTTGGCATTATTTGACGGAATTACTTTTCTATGTTAATTTATTTATTTCGTGTAAATTAGTCTTAATACGAAAGTAAAGAATATTAAACTTCTGATTAAGGGGAAAAAAAAAAGATGATGTGCACGACTCTTAATGTCATCCCACCACCCTCACAAGCCAACGTAAGCTACGCAAACGCTTGTTGTGTCCGTTGATGGAGCACCGCGCTCTCGTCTGCTCCTGTTACCTGCTGCCCCTTTGCTCACTCGCCCATTTATCCTCCAATGCTTCGCACTCCTTGAACCGGCACCACTGCCAGAGACTCCTCTTCTTCTCTCTTACCGACACGAGGCAAAAGAGTTCGAGGGGTTTATTCATGACCCTCTACCCGAAGGGGGGGGAAGGGGAGGATGAGGGAGGAGAGTTCTAATGCAGACTTAGGCGCAAGCGATGGCCCTGGCGTTTCGTGACCCTCGTCCCGAAGGCCGCGTCCGAGGTGCTCGACGAAAGGCCGAGCCCAAGTGGTGCAACATGAGGAGGGAGGAGAGTTTTAAGGCAGCCTCAGGCGAATACGGTGCACCCCGTCCTTTGCCGTCAATAAGGTTGCATCATTCATGGTGCCGGTCGGGGCGTTCCTCGCTTCTACTCTTAGTATGCGGTTTGCTTCACCTTGAGGCACTCGAGTTAGCAAACGTACGTAGCTTTACCTGATTTAATCTTTCTTTCTATTTTGTTGGCCGCGCTAATAACTTGTTCGAAATTGATATCTCCTATTGTGGCGGCATTGGTCTATGAGTAACCGGGTCGAGTCATCGTAGCACAGCGTACTTGATTATCTCAACGGGAAACTAGAACATGTTAATGCATGTGAAGTGCAATCCATCGAGTTCCAAAAACCATGGTGTCTACATTTTCAAACTATATAAATATTTCTAGCTAATTTTCTACATCTTATTGACATTGTGTACCTGAACAATACCTTTAGGTATCCCACAATCATCTTGGTAGCTTTTTGGTTTGAGTTTTAATTAGTCGTAAATTTGTGCATCCTACATAATGTGAAATTTCAATTTCTTGGTGCCATGTGCATAGCGTGTGCCTAATGCTACAAGAATTCAGTTCATATCTAGCAATCTGAACAGGTCTTCTCAGCCTGGTGGTTGCAAGTTTACTCATGGCATAGCTAAAGGATTCAGCTTCTGGGGCCAATAGATCTTTCCCTGGAATTGTGGTGGCCCTTCTGTCATGGTACTAATCTGCAATCAGGCGCTGCTTTGAAGATTGAATGCATGTGACATTCAGAATTGTCAACTTGTCAGTGTGATGACTTGATATGCTATATTACTTATCATGGCGTTCTACAGCCCAAACAATCACAACCAGAAGTGATTTGATTTGTACATTATTTTATTTTCATCAGTTTATTATAAATCTAATATCTGAGCGACCAACAGGCAGAATACATTGTTCAGTAGATATGTCCATGGAAGGATATGACCATCCTATAAGAGCATTTTCCAATTATTGGAATTTGTTTTCAATAATGAAATAGACACAAGATAGAGAGAATATACCACTTTATTGATAAATCTATTAAGTGATGGAATAACCAATACTAAGATATAGTTATGAGTTCTTTGAATGGCTCAAAAGTCTTCAAAGATGAGAGTTGCTGGTACATTCTTGAGCTTTGCCAATCTTTGGTGAATGCCTTTTGTCTCTTATGCCTAATTTGCTGGGTTTGGTCTTCAATTTAAGTCAGCTGAATTTTGAGTGTCATATAAATTAACTTGCAGTGGAGTTTACATTAACCGAGAATAATAATTGTCTTTTCTTTGCATGCTTGTGAAACATGCTACGTCACTGTTGTTGCATAGGCACTTTTGAAGTTTATCCTACGGTAGGAAACTATGAAGAATTTGTAGCAATTGAATGGTTGACAAAATAAAAAACATTTAGGTAAAGTTGCTGAAGTAACAGTGAGAGGGAAAAAGGTTAGAGAAAAAGCCTCAAGAAGAGTTATAGTTAAATTAGTTGGCAACTGAGCTCATTCCTTTGTTAAGTGATTGGGACAAGAATACTTCCTAATTTATTTTTTCCTGTTCTCTTATCATATTCTTTTAGCAATATATCTGACTGAACATCTGATGTCTTCGATTACATTTATCTTTATAAGTGATTATGTAGCCTTTCCTGTTGGTAAGAGTTTCATTCTTTCCGATGATTGCAAATCAATTGATTATTCATTGGTTTGTTTTTCCTACAGCTGTTTTCAGCATTAGGATGACTGCAATATTCTGTTTCTTTCATTTTATTCTTTTGGCATCTGATAAAAATCTAAGATTCTGCTTACTGTGTTTTTCAGATATTTTAATGAGAAATGAAGGTACTCGAGAACTCCAGCTGAAAAAAAACGAGGTTGTTTTCATTCTACTTTTTGTAGGCAATCAATTTGTTTGTGCCTTTTAATGAATTAAGCAGAAATTTATCTTGGTAATTCCTAAATTGTTGAGTTTTGCAGGATGCAAAGGCTATTGCAGAGTCACTGAAAAAAAAAAGATCAACTTTGTATATCCTAAACAAGAATATGATTGACTACTATGGCATTCTTGTTGGTCAACTATATGATTGCTTCTGCTATCATTGTGTTAGTGGGCATTCACCTTCTCATGTGAAGACCAAATGACTGAAGGAGAATAGCAGAAGCAAGGAGGTGCTGATTCTAATATGACAACAAGGCTGTCAGATCTGATTGTATGATTTAAGGTCAGGTTAATGGAATGGCCAATTTTCTTTCTTGTAACTTGTCTGAGGAACTAAATCCATTAATGGTTTAAGTGATAATTCGTTCAGTGTCTAAAACTCCACCAATGACCGGCAGGGTATCCAAATTTAACAAAGAGATCATGTTTTCTCATGTGCTTAGGTTTAGTATGTACAAGTATGTATGCATAGGATAGAGTCATACTAGGATAATGCTTAATATACTGTAGCAGTCAAATAATATGTATTTGACTTCAAAGATTTGGAGTTTTTATTGGTTGTAGTTAGCTGTGGATTGGGATAACACTGATCTGCTTGAGCTGTAAAATAATGTATATACGAGTCTGAGTTTGTATGAGCTGTAATGTGCTGTGGATGTTACATATAATAGCCCTTTGGCTTCCCATATATGTAGAAAAACCAAGTTTGCCAGATCAGTTGAAGCAAAACCATCTGCAACAAAGTTGCCATCAACAATTTGCAGAAGGATTCAATGCATTTAACAGTGGAGATTTTGGAAGAACCATTTGGCAACCACATGACATTTAATAGTGGACTCATATCAAGTAGTCACTGTAGCTTCCTGCTTTTTTCACTGTATATTATTCACTCGGATGTTTGACTCTATGCATAAATATGTAATTTCTTTAAAATATTAGTTTTTGATAGTTAAATCTCTAAATACAATAACAAATCATAATGTCTCAATTATTTGGGGTTGATACATTGATGTGAGTTATGTAACAAATAATATTCTTAGTTAAATTAAGAGTATTTAAAATTTTTTATATTTATATTTATATTTTTTTTCATTAATTATCTTACTTCTAATTTCAACATGTATATGTATTTTAAGTATATTCCGTCGAAGTTATATCTAAATAAATACAGTGGGCTCAACATTCTCACCAGATTCGAGAAGAAGTTAAAATATGACAACCGTATACAGTTATGACAATCATCTCTTTCAAGGCAAACCTTGTAATATTTGTATTAATCTTTTAGAAGAAAACTAGTCATTCTTAAGAATTCAATGTAGCAACAACATGTTATTAGTGATCAGAAGAGAAGTGTTTTGTGTTTGGCCAACGCCGGCGCCGCCAATGCGATGGAAAGTCAAACCCCCTGAGCTGCCACAAGGAACGAAACAAGGAAAATGATCGCAGAGAGAGATTACCACCGACTCTCCCTCATGCTGTGGTTGTTCTTCTGAGCTAACCAGTCTCAGCTGAGCTGTTCTCTCTATCAACGAAAAGGCCAAACAAGTACCCGGAGACAAACGATCCTCTGCGCTCGTATCTGTCATCAGGCCTTGCATCACTGCCACCCCTCTCCCTCGCCATCGTGCAGCGTTTGACTGTCGGAGATGGCGTCGATGCTGTTCGGAGGGACGACGCAGAAGTGCCAGGCGTGCCGGAAGACGGTGTACTTGGTGGACCAGCTCGCCGCCGATGGCAGGATCTACCACCGAGCCTGCTTCCGCTGCCACCACTGCAGGGGAACGCTCAAGGTGATTCCACTGTTCTTCTCTCTCTTTCTCATCTTGGATGCCATCTAAATACTCTTCTCAGTCTGTCCGTGTTGGACTCTGTCTACATCAAAAGATTCGAAAATATTCTACTGGTAATTGGCTTAACCATGCATGAAACTATCACTAAGAAATATGTTTCATCATTGAATGTTGTGATGATTATGAGTAGAAGTCATCTCTGTTTGATTGAGGGGTTTGAGAAATCTTGTATGTCTAACATGAATTTTCCCTGCTTTCTAATTCTTAAAGAGAGACTAACTTGCCTTAAAATGATTGCTTAAGTTGCTCGTTCGGTCTCTTCTTTGTTTCTTTCTTGCAATGAGAATGTATGCTACTCGATTGTGTCTGATGAATAAAAGCAATAGTATTCCTTTGTTTTTAGGATGAATCATGATTTTTCCTCTGATTTTTTTAGGTTTAAGAAGATGTCACAATTATGAATATGACATTGACAATGAATACTAATCTCAACTGATTCAATCATCCTGAGCAAGCAAAGGAATTTCTATGCTTTGATTCAATATCAATGATTCTTTGGAAAACACTAGGGCCATGAAAATATGAACAGTATATATATACAAAAAAAAGAATGTACCCAGTACATGAGGCTACCGCCAATGCGGGCATACCTAATATAAAAATGATGAACAGTATGCATTATGATAAATGGATATTAGTGCTTATTTATCTATCAATAAACAAACGTGAACATGAAGCCACCATTTGTGAACTCTATGTATTTAGCAATTGTTAGAAAGAAAGAAAGAGAGAATCTATTTATGAAAGCAAGACAACATCACCAGGTACATATGTGATGGAACTGTCATGCCTGCCATATGAATACATTGTTTTCCTGGTACATTGTCTTATACAAGTCAATGAATGATGATCTAATGTAAAACAAGTTTAAATACTAATCAATATGTTGGTCAAAAAAATTGTCAGACTTAGATGACTGAAAAGTCGAAGAAAAAACCCATGTTCGACGCACACGAAATAAAGTAAACGTAAAATAGACATCGATAGGTATAATCGATACAGAAATCAAGTTGCTTATTTGAAAATTACTAGCATTGCTCCAAAAATATCCTAGGTGCCTGATACCTAACATACTCGTATTCATTTAGTTTAGCACAAAATGTTTTGGTTGATCTCCGTGTCAATTAATTTCCATGAGTCATGTTGAGTGCAGCTGAGGTGAGAATGTTGAGACAAACATATCTATCTACCATGAGAAGGCAATGAAGGTTTCATAATCCACAAGAGGTTGCTACTCTGCCATTTACGTTGGAGTCAGCTTCTTGCTTTGAGATTCCTTCAGTGTATCACTTCTTTGGCATCTCAGAATTATTGTTTGGCTTTGTTTCAAGATAACTTGCATATCCTTGCAAATCATTCATTAACATTTCAAGATGAGCAACAAAGAACTTTAGGTTATCGAACTCCTCATCGAGTCCTTGTATTTATTTTTGTGTTATGTATCATTTAGGCTGAGACATGTGGTAAAATTTTTGCTAATTGTGATACAAGACCGATCGATTCTATATGAATATATTTGTATATGGAAAATATGAATGGAATAATAATCTGATAAGGTTTTTTATATGTATATATCTGCGTTATGTGTACATTTGTGCGTATCACGGTGTGTGTATATATATAGCTCAAGTACATCTTGCTGTCTTCAAAATGCTCATAATGCAGTTCAGCAATTATAGCTCTATTGAGGGAGTTCTTTACTGCAAGCCTCACTATGATCAACTCTTTAAGATGACTGGCAGTCTGGATAAAAGTTTTGAAGGTATCTGATGACTCTGATAATTCCATGATACATTGTCATGCTTATGTGCTGACAACATACTCGAATTGCTGTAGGAGCTCCAAAATCTGCTAAGATAGACAGATCCAGTGGTCAACAGGTACAGTGAGATCAAAGCAACTTAGCATTTCCATGCAATTATGCATATAACTTAAATACACTGATACCGAAACGATCTGGTACAGTTTTCTTAATTACGTATTTTTCATATCATACAGGGTGTTGCTAACAGCAGATACGCGAGTATATTTCTCGGCACACGAGACAAATGTGTGGAGTGCAAGAAAACGGTGTACCCAATTGAGAAGGTACATCTGATATTTCCTATTCTTTTTCTGAAACATGAAGAGGTGTCAGATTGTTATATCAGACTTCATTCTGTTCATATAGTCCCTCAAGTTCTATCAGGATCCATTAATTTCATCTATTGGACTTAAACGCAAAGATTTACCAACAAGTTAGTGTTCACTGCAATCTAATGTTTATGTGCAATACTTGTATTCCCCATTTTACTCTGTCTGTGCGATTTCACATATACCTAAGTCATAATTTTGGTGCATGATTATCTCCCAATACATTGCATATTTTTTGTGCTAAAGAAGTTTCAAGCAGAAATATATTAGTAATTTGCAAAAATAACAGATTTAACAGTGTTTACTTTTAGAGAGGTGTGCCGAAGAACTATCCAATCATCAATATATAGTGGAGAATTCCCTCTTTATTTATCTGTGATTTGATATGACTCAGAAGATCATATAGCTGGATTTTTCTCCCATTAGGTGAAAATTTCTGAAAAGTTAGGAGATGTCGAACATCATTTCCCGAAGCCACATCATACAAAAAAATTTTAGAACATGTTAGAAGAAACTTGCTGGTAGAAACTCTTACATAGTTGATGCATATGATCTTGTGGATGCATTCAGAACAACAGATTTGTATGACATTATCATTCACATTTAGCAACTCGACTAAATAGTTCGACGTAATATCTGTTGAAATGACAGGACTGTATCTATATATCTACATCTGATCCATACAAGATAATAAGTGACATGTCTTCCCTGCTTTCAGGTGGCTGTTGATGGAAACTCTTACCACAGGCCCTGCTTTAGGTGCACCCATGGAGGTTGCACCATCAGCCCATCCAACTTTGTCACACATGAGGGCAGACTCTACTGCAAGCACCACCATGCTCAGCTATTCATGACCAAGGGCAACTTCAGCAGCTTCACAAAGGTTGAAGAAGACAAGCATGAAGACATATTACTGCAAGTGCCTTCTGATCATGTTGCGGTTGAAGGTGGTCAAGTTTCATGATCTCTCCAGTGTTCATTCATCAAGCTCATGTGCTTCATCTTCCCTTGGCACACACATGAAGGTCTGCAACAAGTTTATAGTAGCATAGAGTGAAATTGCATCGTTATTTGGATTCTTAATTTTTGGAAGAACATTAAGAATGGGGATTGCATAAATCAAGGGATGTTGTATGTTCAGATCTACTTAAAGGTGTGATATGGGCATATCAACTATTAATCTATCTTGCCTTGATACTTTCTTAAACCCAAAAATAAGAGTGGTTTTGATGTTGGTCATCTGTGTTGTTGTCATGTAATTGACTTGTTGAGTCTACTAGTGATGCAAACTGCTTCGCTTAATTGTAGTTACCCATCAAGCCTCTATGAGCCTATTTAATTTTTGTTGCACTTTCAATATAAGGCTAAATTAGCACGTTACAATATACCTCACTTGAAATATTTGATCTTTAAATCAAGGATAAACATATCCTAAAATTAGATACTAGCCTACATAGTGCTCGTGAGATATGACTCAGTGACCTAATGATAGCTCATGTTATGACATTGGTCTTTTCTGTTATTATGCCTAATACTAAATTGACTTTAATATAATTTCTCAATTTATGTGTGTCATCGTTATAGAATGGTCATGCTAATATTGTTTATAATTTTATATTATTTCAATTTTATCATCTCTCTCCTAAGAGATAGGCAAAATCGTTTCTTAGTTTATTTCCTTTCAGGATAATGTTTGGAACATATGATTTAAAGTCTTCATTGGCAAAATCGTTATTTAGTTTATTTCCTTTCAGGATAATGTTTGGAACACATGATTTAAAGTCTTCGTTGGCCGCATATGATAAAAAAAACCACTATTTTATTAACCAGAGTTTATAAAGATTAAACTTTTCGATCGAATTGAAATGGTTCTATAGAGATTTTAGTTAAAATTATTATCACCTATCTTTCCTGCTAACCTAGAAATGCTGAGTTAATACAACATATATACATGGAAAAAGGTGAGTTCATTAAGTTTTTTTTTTTTTTTTTTTTATCAATGGAGTGAAATGGATTGAGCTATCTCATAAAGGAGCATGAAGAACAACAATTAAAGCGAAAAGAAGGGAAATTCATGTATATGTAATTATCGATAAGTAATTGATAACATCATTAAGAAAAATCTGATTTAGGGAAATTCCCAATAAGCAAAAAAATCTTCCTACTGATCCGTTTATGATGGATACATGAATGAGGAAAATATGGATCAAAACCTTTAGATATATTTATTTTATTTTAATGAAAAATATTTTTTTAACTTATTTTATTATTTTGGTTAGGTTAAAGTATGAAGAAAATAATATTCTATGACTAACAATCCATTTTATTTTCAAACCGATCAATCTATTATTTATTTTATATTAAAATAAGTCAAAAGTCAAATATTTTTGCCAAGTCCTGGGATAAAACAACTTTGTAGTAATAATCTTGATGGGTTTGCAATGATAACTTAATGATAATATGATTATTAACATAAATATATTTATAGTTAACTAATTGTCTAGCTTAAAGAATGACCAAAGTCACACACAATCATAAAAGGATATTATCCGAATGCCTCAAATAGTTATAGTAAATTCTGACTTGTCGAATTTTTATTTTTCCAGTGATATGCGCATATCAAAGTAATTGTTTCTATGCCATACCATAATGAAAAAGTAATTTTTATTTTCTTTAAAATAAATATAATATTTTTTTCATTCCCATAACATAAGCATAATTAGTTTTTAAGATTTTAAATATATGATATATATATATATATAACATAAAATATGTATTGGAGCATCAGTTTTTCTAGTAGTATCAATTTGCCCTGAATAACAAATTTTTGGGTTCCAGTTTTCTTTTTTTTTTTTTTTTGGACAGGAAAATATCCTCCCCATTTTTGTTATATAATGTGACCTATGACAAAGATGGCATGTTTTATACTCACTTTCATTTGAATATATATATATATATATATGATTATAAATATATATTATCAATCATATATATATGATTATTATATATATATATATATATATATATATGAAAATATCCTCCCCACTTTCATTTTATAATATGATTATTAACTTTTATATATATATATATATATATATATATATATATATATATATATATTTATTTATAAGCTTCAGAAAATAGAAGTAATATAAACATTCAAATTAATTATAGGAATGAAAAGGGTTAGAACCAAGGTGGGACAAAAGTTCACTAGAGGTTTGGTAATCAATACTAAATTGGATATCAAATCCGGATCCGATAACTAATTATTTTGAATTAATTGAAACACCTAATGCTTTATTGGGGATTATACATGTAAATGGCACCATATCCGGCCTTTGAGAAATCCATGTCACTCTTTAGAAAACTCTTTTTATAGTGATTTAGTCAACCTAAAATCATTTTTTTATAAGAAACCACCAAAATGAGGATCCATACCCAATATCACGGATCGGATTCGGATCATTACCAGGTATATTTACACATTTAATCGGGTATAGATCTGTGTCAGGATCTATCTATTCCGATTTCGGGTTATCGGGTCCGGATGCCCTCTCAGGTGAAAGAACTCGATGAACCTGTCACCAAATCGCTCCCGAGAGAACACGCTTGAGATAGGGATGGTGGCGGGAGCGGGGTTATCTTCTTCTTCCTTCCACCTTCTCCACCTCCGGCCTTCTTCTGCCTTCCGTAGCTTGAACCCACTGCTACCTCCAAAGCCTCCTCTTATCCCGTCGTCTTCTTCGCGGGCAGCCGTCAGGGCTCATTCTTTTGCGGGGAATTTCGAGTGGCACGGCTCCGCCGCCCGCGCCAAACGGGGCTCTGATGGATTCTGGGAGGATCCGGATGATGGATATGACAGCGAGTTGGAAGAGGTGGATCAAGAACTTGAGGATGAGGAAGGGGAGGAAGTCAGTGGTGATCAGGGAGACGCTACGATTTCCACTGTGTCCCAATATGACGATCTCGTCAAAGGTTATATACCCTTACCCAAAACTCTTTCTTTCTTGTATTAGACGACGTTGAAGCGGATGCGTTAGGGTCCATGGTTCCTGGGGTGTTCCTTATCATGATTGCATCTTCATTATAGCAGAAAGATTGGATCTTGTCGTGCGATTGTTTTAGAGGTTAATGAATGCTTCTCGACTTGGATGACTGCTGGCTTAATTCTTCATACTTTTTTTTTTTCTAACTTTTGGCTCCGTTATTGACCAGTCACTTTTATTTTCATCAAAGGAATGTTTTTGATCCGCACATTCTATCTTGATCTGGCATGTGACTTGATGTCTAAGCTGCTTAGTCTGCAACATTAGCTCGTTTTCACATCTTTACTGTTGATTCAAAATATGCATTGTTTCTTGTCTTTTCAACTTCTTTATCTTGTCAGTAATGCACTTCAAGATTCTGGCCAATTATGACTGTTAAATTTGGTAAATCTTTGCTTGGGAAATATAGATACGAAAAAGTAGTAGTGACTTCGTTAGCGTTAACTGTCAAAATTTCCATTATTGCCTTCAAAATTTCCATTTGTTTCTGGCTCATTATGAAAGAAAGTCAATCTGCAATTGTTATGACCCGATTGCATAAGTAATCAATCATTGATTTAGTTGAATTTGCACATCAAATACGAAATGGGAAATGGAAGAAGATTAATAGAAGATAACAGTAAGACCAAATGCTTAACAAAATCTCCAGCACCGGATGATGTTGATGCTTGTGGCTTTTGGTGTTGTATTCCAAACATGTGCCAACTACCAAGACTATCACTCGGTGATTGATTGTGCTCTTCCATTTGAAAGAGATCTAATTTTCCAACTTGGAAAAGCTCTTTCATTTTGTTTTTAATTTGAGTAATTTTTAGATCAATTTTGTGAGACTCCATATGGTTGAGCCTCATTTAATGGGCCTCCCCTTTTACCCATATATCGGCAAGAAGTAAGGATATATTTCAACTTTTACTGGATGTAATAAAATTTCTTTGCTATGTTGATTCAACCATTTGCTTATTTAGCAACTATAAATTTGTTTGTATTGATTCTCTTGCAGAAGTTGACCTGATATTAGAGCCAGAAGAGAAGGTTTTTTTGCAACGGAACGAAGTCCCAGACCTTAGCAAAATATCAACTGTTAAGTTCTCCTGACTTAGAAGTGTCATATCTAGAGCAGTTGCTTGCATATATGCAGAATTTCTAGGTTAAAATTTATCAGAACTTTTTGCATATCTCAAATATTTGGGACATCACGGCTTGTTGTTGTATATATGGATATGCTACTGTTGCATAAAATGACATACGACTGTTTGTTTTCTAAAGAGTGATGATAAAATTTATATCCCACATAGTAGGTGATTCTTCACCTATTAGAATAAACAAGCTAATTTTTTCACATGCCTAACTTTTACTACAGATGAAGTGGAACCCATTTCATAGTCTAGCATTGTCAGGTCAGATTCCCTTCATGGATAAACTACTTGAGGATGGTAGTACAGATATTGATTGTCTTGACAAGGTAATCTTCCCATTGCTTTAATCATGTCATAAATGTTTGATAAGAATAACCCTCCCTTCTATGAAGCATGGAACTTGATTAGGTTTCATGACACAGGATGGCTTCACAGCTCTTCATAAAGCTATTATTGGCAAAAAGGAGGCTGTTATCAGTCATCTCCTAAGGAGAGGTGCAAATCCTCAAGTGAAAGATCCGGTAAGAGGAAAAACAAACTGCCACAAATCTTACTCACTATCATTATTGTTCAATTTAGATTAAGTACATTGTTGTCCTCTGTGATAGGATGGTGCTACGCCACTCCATTATGCGGTTCAAGTTGGTGCAATGCAAACTGTGAAGTTGCTAATAAAATATAAAGTTGATGTGAATGTTGCAGATAATGTGAGTTGCATCTGTTTTGCTGTATTTTTCGGTTATACATTCTTGTAACTATTAGCTTACTTTGCAAAATACTGTGCAGGATGGTTGGACACCATTACATGTGGCAATACAAACTAGATCTAGAGATATAGCAAAGGTATTGCTGGTAAATGGTGCTGATAAGACAAGAAGAAACAAGGTAATGGTTGGACTTGTCGATCTTTTGACCTTTGTGTAAATTTAAACGGGCTAAAAATGAACTGAAATTATCAACTTCCACGAATATTTGTTTATAACTGCTGAAATTCTTGGAACCCTCTTGGTTTGGTTCCATTGTGATTGTCTTAAACTCAAGCAATGCTTGTAGTATGCTTGTTTCTAGTAATTTTATATGTATTCAATTATTCATCAGCGAAAAGAAACAAATAAGCTTTTGTGTTTGTAAGATAACATATCTATTCTTTGACATCCAGTTGTCATAAATTGTCTGGAGCAGAAGAATAAAATCCTTCTAGATTTATGCCTGGTTTAACATCTATGCTTGCAAAATCTCAGGACAATAATAGTACCTTTAGATGGTTAATTAATATAGTGGCAAGATGATACTTAAACACCTATGCTTGCAAAATCTCAGGACAGAAATAGAACTTTTAGATGGTAAAGCAATATGGTAGCAAGATGATAATTAATTAAAACATGTGAAACAGCTTTAAGAGGAAAACACACATGCATGACTAGGGAATTAGAGATTCTTTATACTTGATTACACGAGAATGAGTGGCAAATGTAGAGGACTTAGGATTCACAGCCAATGCTTCATATGGTTGATCCTTGTTCTTAATGTCCAGGTCATGAGAAATATAATAAAGAAATAAATGATAGAACTAGCGATCATTTGAAGTTTATGTTGCGTTACATAGTCAACTGCCTGTTGCTACCCAGCTTGGCATTGTGCACACAAATAATAGTCAGCCAGATCTGGGTTGATGGATATGAATGAGAAACCCCGGCATAACCACTCTCTAATGCATAAGCAGTCTGATTAAGTTCTTCCCAAACATTGTAGATATAACTGAAAACCTCCTATATAATTGTCACATGATTGCAACCTTAGCTCTATACTCTCAAGGGGTTTCTGTTTTTCCAATAACAGCTATCAATTTTTGCAGATAATGATGGTGAGAACATCTTTTATTATTCAACATATACATTATTTTGACTTGGTGATGTTAGAAGCTTTTTAAAGCAGTTTCACTCTATACATTTTCTTTTCTTATGTTTTGGTTAACTGAGTGAATAATGTGAATATGAATACATTTCAAGATAAACGACCTTTGCTTTTTCGTGTGATGTCTAGGATGGAAAGACACCTTTGGATCTAAGCTTATGCTTTGGGAAAGATTTCAAGTCCTATGAGCTTGCAAAGCTTCTTAAGCTTGTTCCGGCAAACAGGAATTTCTGATGCATTCTGTTGGTGCATTTATTAATTTTGGAAAGGGGATTACAGTAGATCTACTGGATTCACTTTAGCATCCTTCAATTTAGTTCTTCAGCGCAGATATCCAACTCATTGGGATACCATGTTGCAGAGATTGATGGAGCTGGTGGAGAGTTGAGTTCGTGCTAATGCACCAATATTCACCTTCGGTATCCTTTTTATGCTAGCAGGAATCGAGACACTTGATGACAATTTTGTGAAGCTATTTGAAATTTGGTGTAAATGCTAATTTGATCAAAGTTCACATTTAGTATGTACCTGCAGATTGTGTTGTGTTGTATGTTGGAGTTGAATTATGGTATGCAACCAATTTAGTGGAATAATTCCATGCCTCGTTTGCTGAGCAATTGTTATTTTGTTGTTTTATCAGGTAATTATTTCTCTGCAGAAGGCTTTAAGAGGATCAAAATGATTCAATATTCTTGAATTTGCTCCATCTTCTTGTGACCTTGATTTACACAAAATTGTCTTCATCCGCCCATTTCAATTTGTTCCCCTTTTATTTTCTTCCTTGATTATTGCTTCTATATTCGTTCCAATTATCGACTTTGAATTATTCAAGTTGAGGCAGGTTTAGTGGCTGAAGTTATAATCTTCTTTTTTTCCCCTTTCTTTTCATACACTCATAATTTCATAGACATATCAGCAATTCATTTTTCACACTTGCAAGCGTTATATTCAATATAATTTGTGGGCTATTTGTTCTCTGTGAGCCCTTCTTAGGCCAGAGATCAACTGGTATTGGCACATAACCTATCAACTTAGTGTATTAAAATAAGAAAAGAAAAAGAAAATATTGTGATTTATTTTTCTGTGAAAATAAGAATGTATAATAAATTGGTACACTACCCCATAAATTATTAGCTTAGTCTATTAAAAAAAAGAAGAAGAAGAGTATTTTCCTGTGAGCTTAACATCGCTGGAAATATGAACACTGAACTCGAATGATTTGGCGTGAAAAAAGAAAAGAGGGCATTTTACCTTTAAATTTTTTTTTACTATTGGGGTTTAATGCAATGGTTGCTCCTTAATTAGTTTTTATTTGGGGGCACTTTTTTTTTTGTCACTTTAATGAAAATATCACTTTGTTCTTCGCCGATCGCTATTGATCGCCAACACATCATCATTGTCTCTATTACCTCCACCCACCATGGCATTGCTCGTCCTTGCCTCTGCCCCCTTTTCCCATTGCTATGGCTAGTACCACCACTTATCATCTCCTCTCTCTCTCTTCCCTTCATCCTCCTATCATCGAAATACAATGTTGTCTGTTCATTACCTTCATCCTTTGTTGTTATCACAAACGATATCGCCCATCGCCACCTCCCCCTTCTCTACCTGGCGGAGGAGGCAAGCAGTGTCGCTCATAGTGACGGAGATGACGGTAATGTGCTAGTGATCAAGGGCAATTGATAGAGAAGGGATATTTTCATCAAAATAAATAAATAAATAAGGGAGGCATGCCCTTAGGTCCAATTAGTTGAGTGTCAATTGGGTAGCAGCCTAATAGTAAGATTTTTATAGGCAAAATACCCATATTTTTCTTTATCTGGAATGTCATGTTAAATGGCCATTATGTATTGTATGAATTATGAATTAATACCTCATGGTTCCACTCACTGTAGCGAGCATAACAGCTTGGGAGTAGGGAACATAACAACATTGGAATCCTCTCTAGATAGGCTCCTATGCACCATTGCCACCTCTTTTTGATTTTTGTGGTGCAATCGAAATGATGCAAGTATCGTAACTTCTGCCAAAGTTTTCTTCCGTTTAAGGAAAACTCCGTTATCTATTAAGATTTTGATGAATATCTAACGATCTTAAAAATATTTAATATATCTTATCTAATTAGATAGGATCATATAAACTAATATATCAAATATAAGAAATTGTGAATTGGAGTTAAAAACTCTTACCCAAAGGAGGTCCAATGACCCCAAATTAAACGGTAAGCTTTGTGCAGGCTGATGCATTAGCTGAACTGTTTTCTAATTTGAATTCGGATACACAGGACGTCCACTGATTGGTTCTTCCGTCTCCATCAATTTCTCAGCATTGCAATATACGACAAGACTATTAGTGCCTGATGTCATGTTAGAAATTGATGTTTGGAGTAGAGTGCGTGGATCAACTTCAACTATTTTGCGTAGTTTCGGAACCAATCAAAGAATATTTTATGCAGCTCGAATAATCAAATCCAAACATGCCATCCTTGTGGTGTGCCAATTGCCAAGAGTGCCCCGGAACAGGGATCAAATTTACACCACGCAGCACTATAAACTCTGTGAATCGCCAAAACTAAACATCTTGTCATAGAAATAGCTCCAAAAGATTGTGGTTAATATGTCAAGAAATTTTTCTAAGAGCTTTTTGTTAAGAGTTTCATCACTGTTTTGAGCAGCATGATCATGATGTAGAAACTTGCTTTACATTGATTTCAGTAGCCTTACACCGGTAAAACCAATCGAGGAGTGTTCCAGTGGATCTTTCAGGAGAATATTATACGAAGCTATATTGTCCAAAAAAGGTCTGTATGTCCTTCAGATTATGCTGCTCGTCATGCACTTCTTCTTCGATATGATCATATCACTTTGTGGTAAGATCGATCATACAGATCGCAAACCTGCCAAATGAACCAGCATCCTTTGGTGCTTGGGCAACTTCGCCCTAAGACACTACTTGGTGGAAGCTGACGTACTACTTTGCACCAAGGGAGAGGAAACTTCCTGGAGATCTTGTAGCAGCTGCCGCAGGGGCTTCTCCATGTCGAGCAGGGCTGGAAGATGTGGACTGCCCAGCAACCTCGTTGACCACGGTACGTTCTTTTCGTTTATTGGGTCACCAGATATCCAAGTGACTGCCATCGTACAATTTGAGTGGGTTCAAGACATCACAGTAACTCAGAACAAAGGTAGTTCAACTCCATCATGTTTCATAAGCCAAGACTCTGCATCTCCTGTCTGTTCTCCCTGTTCTTGTGATTTTTTTGCAACAAATTCAACCAAATTAGATCGTGAGTTTGATCCAGAATATGGAAGGAAAGCTAATGTCCCACTACATTAGCATGCATGTTCTGTAAGCTCTAGATCATGATGATACATCAACTTTTTCTTTTCTTTTGTTTCTGAACATTGGTGACTACATCATGAACTGTGGTTATTAAAGAGTCTTATCTGTACAAGGACTCTCCCAGATTTTTCTCCAGCAATAGCAACCGGAATCTCAACTCTTTCTTTGATCGAATGCTTCTTTCCATAACTATCATGCCCGAGACCTGTGTGTGAATTCCGTCAAGACTTGGGTCTATGTGTTGTGAAAGCAGCTCGCGATGGTTGCGCAATTAGCTCCCAGCTTCTGAGATGCTCTGAAGCGAAGGACGCCAATGGCGGCCTCTTGCCGCCACCTGCGTTCTGCTCTTTTGCCGATCCCTCTCCTGATTTGTTGCCTGGAACATGTCATGGAGTATTGACTGCATGATTCTACCTGAACTCTATTTGGATTTTGTAGAGAAAAGACTATACTTTCTGTTTTAAGCTCGACTCTACTTGTGTGTGTTTTTTGCTCTGTTTTATGATTCAGCATATGTAGGAATTGATTGAAGTATACTACTTTGGAATTCATATATCATGATCGATCACAATAGATGTGTACCTGATGTGTGGCATCTGAATCCTCCTCTGTTTCCTCTCGAGCAGGATCTGTACACTGATCGTTTGTTCCATGCTGCTGCTGCTGCTGCTGCTGTTGTTGTTGTTTTCTGATCGATTCAGCCTGGGTTTTCTTGAGCTTCTCATACTTCCTTTGCCTCAGAGCCTTTGCAACTTCTGGCAAAGAATCTGAGATCAGAGAGCCAAGCAAGGAATCGGGAAATGGTAGAGAAGCAGTGCGGATGGAACCTTGGGAGGTGATGAGCCGGTAAACTTGGCCGAGCAGGAGCATGTCCCTGGGCTTGAGCAGCCGCACGCGGGTGAACCGCACGGTGCCGGCGCCGCCGCCGCCGCCGTCCGTCTTCGTCTCCGAGACGTAGAGGGTGACGAGGGCGACGTGGTAGCCCGGGTTGCTCTTCATGACATCCGCCGCGCTCGTCGGCCAGTAGAGCCGCTCCACCCGCCCGCCGGGGTGCTGGATCACCACCGTGGCCACCTCCGCTGCCTGGCAATTCCCCATCTTTCTCCTCTCCCTCCTTTATCTTCACCGACGGTTGTTTGTGTTGTTGATATACAGGAACGGAAGAGGAGGAAAAGAGCGTTGCAGAGAAGAAAGCAGCCTTCAACCAACTGCAGCTGCTCGTGGGTGGCCTTCTTTAATGGGATGACAGAGAGGTGAGTCTCAAAACCCTGATATTCTAGTACAGTCTACCCTGCACTCGCCTAAAATAATAATGTCGATAGAGAAAGAGAGAGAGAGAGAGCGAGAGAGTGCTTCCTCGGCTAATGGGCTACTCGATCTTTAACTTGGCATGATGTCAGTGGGCGTATGGGGGCGGTAAAGACGATGGTAGGCGTGGTTTTACGTTGCAGGTCAGGGATGGGGATGAGGACAGGGTTATCATTTTACTGCAAGCGGGCAGCAGCGCTCAGGGGCGTGAGATTCTTCCTGTCATGGGAGTGTGTGCGCGAGGCGAGGGGGTGAGACGGGCCACATTACCAAGAAGAAGACACTGAATCACTGACAGAGAAGAAACGTCATTTGCCTCTTTCTGCCCACCGAGCCATGGGATGGGACTTTTGGGTCGTCCCTGGGGGCAAAAAGCTTCTGCCATTCCGTGTTCATGGCCCACTGTTACCTCTCTTATCCTCCTGGTGCTGGCTCCGGGACATGAGGTGAACAGTAGTGACTACTCGTCGTTGCCCTCTGGCATCCACTAGCAGCATCGCAGGACGTGGTTTTTGTCTCATGGAGTTGTGTTCGCTGTACGCGTTCACTGTTCGTTCATAGTTGAACTATGGTCCAATACCTGCTGGGTAGGTGGGTGGTGGTACATGATACTTTTTTTAGTGTGGCATTAAACCTCTTCCCAAATAATCGATGTTCCATGTAATGTGTTGATTTTGGAGGTGGGGAGTAGTAGTAGGTAGGGCATGGAGGCATCAAAGGAGGAGTCAACAACAATCTTTTGCGTTAGCTTCGGATTTAAATCAGTCGAATGATTAGTTTAATGTGGAAAACACAGTTGATGCTATGTTAAGTCTCCAAGTCCAGGGAGAGTAAAGTGCAAACACCACCTCTCTCCTCTCAGCTTTCTGGAAAATCCATCTCAAAGTTGTGTTCCTGAAATCATGTACTCGTGCATCACATCGGTTCGATGTTCTCCTCCTTTCTTTCAGGTCC